AGTATGTCATACTTACGTTATGTCTGTGGGATAATAGAAATGGAAACTGGTAGGCCTAGTGACGCAAATGAAAGTTCTCACACAAACAGATAACACTTGAATGTCAATCAAAAATTTCTAGATCAATAAGTGGTAACTAAATTATTGATCAGTATTTGACAACTTTGAGAAAAATTTGGGACGATTCAAAATGGATGTCACGGAAGCAATATTTTTTATAAATATGTATATATGTATGTTGTGATTTTTATGTTAGCGTTGTTGATAAAAAAAGGAAAAACAATAGTTCGGTCAGCAATTTTGTGCCAGTTAGGTTTGACGCCAGAACATAAATACTCAAACAAGTAACAACGTGCTTTTTATATTTATAATGATTTTTAAAGTAAAATTTTTCGTTTGCTTTTTTCTACAAAATTATTTTATAAAATCACAATTCAAAACCTTTTACAAAAATTTAGGAAAATTCAACAAATCTCATCAAAACTTCAAACTTTTAATTAGTATGTTATATAATAGCCCATACAATTTTAGTCTAATGAAATGAGAGTTTAAACCGGCTAAAAAGTCGCTTTGATTTTTAATAAATTTTTAATAATTTTCTTGGTGACGGCTTTAGAGTGTCGCCATTGCACCTCAATTCAAAACTGGCATTTACTGTTCATAATTCACTATAGCCTTCATTTTTTTTAAATTAAATCTTTATATATGTAATAAGAGAACGTTTTTTGCCATTTAGCATGCTGATTTGCTTGAAATGTGAGCGAAAAAAATATTAAAAATCAACGCTAATTTATAGCTGCCTGCAATTTGCAGTTCGTTGTTCTAGAACTTCATCATCTTTAAAATTGCATACGGTGAAATTTTTTTATATACCATTTCAAAATTTTCTTGCGGTTTTTTTATTTTTATTTTGGGGAACCCTACAATTGTTTTCAGCTAGATTTTATTATTTTACATTTATAACCTGGAACAGGAGAATCGATTTTTTTTCAAAATTGCTTCTTTTTCGGCACTAGTGCATAGTGTAATATAAACAAGTAAAAATTAAAAATTTCAGAAATTCGAGTTAACGCACCTCTTGTTAATTTCAGCTTTCATTAAAAAAGAAATGATCAAATTGGTTAAAAAATCGGGGCTCTAATGAATTATGAACAGTAAATTCCAGTTTTGACCCACTGTGCAATGGTTGCAGGAAAAATTTTGTGTGCTGCATATTTTTCAGCAGCAGTTGTGTGGGACTCTTCGTCATACCAGTCGAGTGTGTGAACTGCCAATCAATCCATAGAATAGGTCAATTGATAACTTTTTCTGTTTGGAATTAAAGAAGGCTTCAAAATCATAACATTTGAACCAAAAACCTTAAGAATAGAGTAAAGGAGACTAACTCTCGTGAATCAAACCATTCACGACTAAATGTTTTAACCCTTTCACGACCTATAATGCACGCATACTTACTCTACTACTTAATAATTAATTTTTCACTTAAATTGCTTTCGTGAAATTGGCTGTAAATATAACTTTTATTCCAACAACAAGCGAAGTTTGTAAAATTTCTTACGTAAATGTGTTTACTGTTACCTATATCATTCCTTTTCATTTAAATAATTTTTTTTAATGGCGCATAGAGGTTTTCAAACTGCACTTAAAACTTCGCCAGCACAAATAATAACGCAAACAATTTTCAAATTAAAATTCGATAAATGTACTTTGGCTGAGCCCTGCCACAGGTAAATAATATTTTACACAAACAAGTTTCACTTTTATAGATTTCTAGAAACTGATTGAAGTATTCCTAAGGCGTTCGTTCACTAAGTTTCTAGCCCTAGCGAAATAAAGTGAATCAATTTCTGCCATAGCAATTTTACCAATGTCATTTAAGATAAAAAAATTGATTACTCTTTTTACGACTAAATGGAAACGTAATTTCACATGCTGCTACATGATTAGTAAAACGAATCACAAGAAATTCAATTAACTGCACACCAAGTATGTATGTATGTATTCAGCGCAGCTAACATCACAAGTTCGCTGCCTAAGTCTTTAGTATGTCTTCTACAACTCAACATAAATAAAAGTAACAAGGTGCGTCTGACTAATAGCAACGCGCAAATGTTTTTGTTTATTCTTTTTACATTTTCTACCATTATAGCATTCTACGTCATAATTATGTTTCTGTTTTGCATGTTTTTCAAGTGCCATACGCATTGTGCACCTTTGGCTTACAGCCAAGCTGATTTTGTTTTTCGCGCTTGGCACACAAAGAAAAAATGCATACGTTTATAGCTTCTGTTAACTTTTGCATAGGGCATTCACTTATTGCTTGTGTGACTGCAGCGGTCAAAGTCAATGCCAAATCATTGTTACTACACTTTGCCATGCACAAACGGTGAAGATGCACTTTTAACGTTTCATTCTAAAAAATAAAAACAAAAATATATTAAAAAAGAACATTTAGCTTCTGTCATTTATTTTGATTGTGTATTTATTTACGCAATTCGTAGCTTTGCGCTTTTCACCTTAGCACTCTATGCGGCTAGTCACGCTGCTGGCGGAGCAGTGCAGCAAACGTGTTTCATGAAAATCTGTATTGCTCCTATTTATGTAAATCAATTTATTTACTTTTTTCAATAATTCACTTCACGTTTCGCTCGCATGTTAATGCCAACTATAAAATTATAATTGGTTGTTGGTGCTATTTTGCTTTGTTTATACTCAAATGTCAAGCACTTAGAGTTAGGGGCGGGAAAGTTGAATGTCAGCTGGACGTGCTCAATAGTTACAAATTAATGGATATCATTATAATTTACAATTATTATTGACAAGCTGTAGTAATCTCATTCATAAAAACTAAATTTCTTTTAAAGTGATTTATAAATAGCAATATTTTATTAACATATGAGAATGACATTTAATCGAAATTAAAATTAATTGATTTGATAATAACCAAAGTGTAAAAAAAGTTGCAAAAATTTAAATTTTATTACGGATTACGGATTTAGAAATGGGCGTGGCAGTTTTAAACCTAAAGTTAATAAAGAGCAGGCTGTTATTAACAACATATCGAGCCTAAACTGTCAAAAATACTAAGTGATATTTTTTTTAATTACTATTTTTTGATGCAGGAATGTTCCTAGAGGCTCTAGAGGCATTTGTGTATCAAAAATGAACAGCTTCCTGACAAAATCAGCAAATCGTTAAGTACCTGGAACAGACATATTATTGATTTCGGCAGACAATATTTGTTCCACAACTCTTTTTTTTTTTGGTAGAGCAGAAAATCTCATTTTGAAGTTATTGCAAATGCGTATTTAAAGAATTTTTTTTACGAGCTACCTTAAAGGCAGAAGGGAGTAACCCGACCATGTATGTACATTAAATGGTAGCTTTCGCAGGTCACTGTACATTCGCATTTTATTAGATGCTGTAAAACACTAATAACATTTGAGGGATTCACAACGGTGTCGTAAGTGTCGTATTGTTGTATGTCGTAAACTTTAAAAGCTTAAATAATAGTTTAGAGAACTGGAAACGACAACCAACTATTTTTTAACACTGCAACAATTCATAATACGTCTTTGATGGTTCTTTACGAACCCCCTAATATATTTTTTAGGCGTTTAAAGTTTACGACATACAACAATACGACACTTACGAGGAATATTTAAGGTTAAAACTTTAAAATAACATTTTCAATACAAAACCGTTCTTATGAACAAAAAAAATTAATTGGCAATAAATTAAAGGTTGATTGCTAGCCAGTAACATGAAATCGCATACGAAATGGTAATATTTTAATATTTTTCGCTATCAACTGGACAACGTACAATTTTAGTTTACTTTTGTGTAACAGCTGATTGCTTGACACTTTTCATGATTTTACTAGAAGAAAAACTTCGGGTTCATTCTCAACACAACTCTCCAAATTCACTCTCATTTAAAGGATTTCGTACGGGTACTTTTTCGTGTAACTTCCTGCAAGCTCGTGTAAAAACCTGTAAGCCCATAAAGTACTGAACCAGAGCTATTAATGTTTATCTTGTATATTGCTTGTTAAAAGAATTTGTTATTGAATTCCAAAGTTTGAGGGAGCATCAGCTAAATCCCAGATGGGTTTTAACATCAGAAAGTGGTTTTCGTGAAAATTGTAGATACATACAAACTTTCAAATTTTCTTTATATATATATAAGAGTACCCTGAAATGCCAGCTTAAAAGGTTCGAGCCAAACAGCCCCCCCCCCCCCCCCCCTAAATTTCATTATGGCTACGCCGATGTGTATGTATATATGTACATCCCAGCAAAAACTTTTATTTTTTGGTAAGCGCTTACTTTTTGTATCGATGGAGTAACGCGTTACAATACGCCTAAATGCTGGTAATGCTGGAATTTAAACCATTGCAACACTCAGTTGAGTTTGCGAGATAGGGGTTTAGTAAAGGTAAGGTCTTGTCGTCGAAGAACATGGAAAAGCTGGGCTTCAAGCTCCCTCCAGATTTGCTCCCTATTGACGACATGCATAGAGTGGTAGTTTTCAAAATAAACTCTAAGTTTGAAACACATAGCAAGGCGACTTGGAGTATCTCTATCAAGGAGAGACATGTCCAGGCAGGCACATTTAAGTGGTATACAGATAGCCCTGAAACTACTGAGGGGAGTTTTCGGGGAGTGTTGCTAGAGTGACAGTGCATGGCCAGATATAAATCTGGGTCGTTCCGGTTACCTAGACCCGACTCATGATTCAATAATATAAGGTTTGCTCAGAAAACAATTTTCTTGCTCCCTCTTGACGAAATCGACTCACTTAGCAGGGCACCACTGTGTGTGGGTGCGTGTGTGAGTGCAACCTTTTGTAAGGGAGTTATGGGAGTTTCAAAAGTCTAATGCCACTAGTGAGCAAACCTTTAATTATTGAATCGTGGACCCGACTGTCGTGAGAACGACTCAATTGCATGCAAATGGTCAGTATAATATCCTATCTGCTTTTGAAAATCTTTTTAAAAATGTCTTTATCTGTATGTATTTATTTTATTATTATTATTAGATATTTGTGCATACACTTTTTGGTATAAAATGACTTTGGCGATTGAACAGAAAATGATTGGCATTTATACATTAACTATAATTTTTATAAGGAAACAATTTTAAATTATTTTTTAGTTAATTAATGCATTACATCGAATCTTATTGTACAAAAATATTAGTTTTTAATGACTGAATAAATTTGAACACATTCTTACCAACAAAAACATGCGCATTTATTCTTAGCAAGTCAGTTGAAAAACTCGTTTTGAAACCATACGACACAGGCGCAACATAATCGCTATTAACCCGTTTTCGAATTGTTAAACAATTTTTCCTGCTTTATATGCAAAATTATACATATTTATAACTGCAACATTTTTTGCGACTTTTTTCAGATTTTACTTAGTATTTCTTTCAACAGCAAATTTGATCGCAAGCTTAATAGGTTATCTTTCGAGTAAATCTTTCAGTTTAGTTTTTCGGTTGCTCATTAGTATGAACAGATTTAAAAATACATATGTATATGGAGTATTTTTGTGACGCAAATTAATATAAAAATTCGAGTTAGTTAACATCTAAGAGTATAAATGGAATATTTCAACTACATCTATAAGGATAACAGTTTCATTACTTTTATAACTAGTAAGGCACATCAAAAGAATATGTTTTCATACGCAAATACTGTTATATACGTATGCAAGCATATACATAGATTCATACACATTTCCTACAAAGAAATGGCAATCAAAGTGGCAGTAATAATAGAAAAGAAACTTATTTTGTATGGGAGCAACGCTTAAACGATTTTACACTCAAAACTCTTCATGGCTCTTGGACAAATGCAGATCTTGACTGAATGAACGACCATCGCCACCATCTATATCCACAATTAATTCATCTTCGAATGGTTTTGGAGCTGCCTCCGTTTCAAGTGCTGGCGGAAATTCTAATTCACGATCGCTCTTCAATTGTACATTAGAATCAGTGTTCAATGTTTCTGGGGTCACCTCAGAGTCTTCTGTGTCGGAAATATATCCAGTTTCACCGGTATAATGCGTGGGGAAAAGTATTAAAGGAGCAGCACTGAAAGCGAGCAAATCGCGTTTGGGAAAATTAGAGCTCCAAGTTTTATTCGGATGACGGTTGAACATAATGGGCAGGAACTCATCTACAGGTAGTAGGTTTTCTAACGGTTTAGCGGCAAGTAATTTGCGAGCACCTTGTAGTGTTATAACGTAGCCCAGTGTCCAGTAGGAATAGCCAGCATGTACAACGTTTTCTGCACCTTGTACCCATGGCTCCTTTTCCTCCTTCAACCGCTTGCGTCCAAAGTAACTGAATAGAAATAGACAATTTTGTGAAGAGTTATGGTTTTTGTGATTAAACATTTTTTTTTTAGCTTACAGCAAATCATATTCAACCACGTTGCGTATTTGCGAGAGCACTCGTATGGCGCTATCCTTGAAGTAAGGCTGGAAACGCACGTCATCCTCTAGTACTAGTACTTCATTTTGTTCACGCTCAACTACCTTTTCCCAAATACGATAGTGACTCAGAAAGCAACCTATTTCGCCCATAGTCATTTGCCGGTGGTGGTAGGGATCTTCATAGCCGGGTAAGAACTTAATACCCATGTCTTGTAATAGCTCAGTGGTCAAATTCCTGAAATAGATACGAGGTAATTAAATTCGGAACGCCATTTTATACAATATTTCTATACATACTTTCCATCGACGGCGGGAAAATATTCAACATCGAGACCTATTTCACGGAAAAGGTTTTCCATTTTTGCGCGTCGTTCTGGACGTCGCTCTAGATTAATCATATAAATGTGGTCCAACGTAAGTTTGGTTCTAAAACAAGAAAAATATTCAGATTATTTTAAAACTTCTCGAATTTTTCGTATATCTGTTATTTACTTACTTATTTGGATAACTGATATAGTCCTTAAAGTAATCGGGCACTTGCGCTACTTCGTCTTGATCATGCACAATATTTGCACGTATGTTCACCAGCTGCTGCAAATCTACATCCAGGCCATCGATAACTTCCAGTGGCTGCATTAGATAGCCATGCGGCAGCTTATTGCTTACGAACAATGGAATACGTGAACAATTGGCCGATGTTGCAAAGACAATAATATCATCCATAGGCCCATCGTATGGCCGACACGGTGTCACTCCTTCGCGCTCAGCCCAATCGACCTCATTTTGTTGCTGTTCTATGAGACGTTCGCGATCGAATGTCAGATAACGCGCGCCCTGATAGTTCATTCTTATCAGTACAGCGCTATGAACCATTGGCACAGGGAAAACGCCTTCCTTGTTCACATTGTAGATTTCCTTATATTCGTCGGTGCGTTGGTAATAATAATCGGATGTCATGCCACACCAAAAATTGGAATAAAGACCTTCAGAGAGTAGCATGGGTGCTACAATCGGCAGACGTAGACTAGTCAAATGAGTCAACGAGTCTGCGTGCGTGAGTAATATATCAGCATCCAGGAACTGCGTGGGGAATTTAAAGTATTATTTTACTTGTATGAGAAAAATTGTGTATGTATCCATAATTACAAATATGTAGTCTGCCCAAATCTGCTTTGCATATGTCAGCGCTAATTCTTTCAAGTGTATGAGATGATGAAAGCGTTCAGCAGGCCAATCGTTCGGTGTACTTTCATTTTGATGACGTTGCACACTATCGTCATGCTCGAAATCGACACTGTGATACGAGTCAGCGGTGTGATTAAGCCACAGCTGCAGTAGTTCCGTACTTGCGTCGTTATTATGATCAGAACGTATCCTATGAATGGAAAATATGTACAGATAAATGCCACTTATCAATCCGCAACTGGGAAATGCGATAACCAATACATATACAGTCTAAAAATTTGCCGGTGATACTTACCACAGCGCCATTTGCTGTTTTGGGTAGCTGAGGCGCTCCAAATATGTGAGGAACAATGGTAGGATGTGTGCCTTGTTGCGTACCAGAAGCGCTACCACCACGGTGGGTGGCTCATCGCCCAAATCGCGCGGTAGCAAGGCGTACAGGTCATCGAGACTCGGTACAGACTGCGGCGACGACGACTTGGCGGTTTCCGGTGGCGCAACAGCGCTACAGTAATAGGCGCTCAGAGCAAAAAGAAGCGTACAAATGGCGAATATGCGCATCTTGAGGTTAATCGCAAAGTTCTTTTGCTGCTGCGATTTTTGTATGAATTTCCAAAACTGCCAGCACTTTATTCCATATGTATGTTCACTCACCACGGTACCGAACGTTCTGAGACGAGAAACGCGAGTTTTCGTTTAAAATCTATTTTAATCAGCTTGTTTTAATTACTCGACGACAGCAGCATAAATCTGGTTCCAGCAAAAGAAACAGAAACAGCATACATACACACAAACAAAAGAAAAATATGACGTTTCTTATCATAAACAAATCGGACCACAAACGATTTGTTGTTGGCAAGCGGGTACGAATGACAATGGAGGAAAGTCCGCAAAAGACATGTGTTTGGTGTCAATACAGTGGCTTGCAACCTGAGGCAAGTTTCACAGGCCTATCACAGATTCCGGGTGAACTCCCGTCGTGAAAAAATCTCACGTCACGAATTCGGGAGAAATGCTATCAGCAATTCCGGCGCATTCGTAGTTATGGCTGCCCTGGGTTTATTTAAAATAAAATAAATCAAATCGATATCAGTGTTACCATTCTCACAAATTTCGAATTTGCGGGAGAATTTCGTTATCACGACGGAATTCATGATAGCGTGACATCATCGGGACAGGGCTGCCTACTACCCTTAGCTATGAGGTGCCATATTGAGGATAAAAAAGTGCCAAATAGAAAGATATAAATAAATTCAAACATTAAGTGCCATTTGATGTAAAATAGGGCCAAAAATGGCACGGTTTGAGCAAATTTGGCAGGCCTGCGTCGGGATCTCCGTTGGAATTGATGATAGGTCTGTCAGGGTGCCTCCAGTAGTGGCTGTCAAACTTTTATACTAACCGATTTTTTGGTCCTTACCCGGTTCCGGTAGTGCATTTAGGTCCCTAACCGATACACCGATAGTTTTGGTGCCACTGACGTGTTGAAGTCAAATGCTACAGTGGTACTAAATTATACAGAATCAGCTGTTTAATTAAAAATAAAAAAAAAGAAATTGCAAAAATTACGAGACTACCACAAATGGTGAAAAATAATAATTTTTATAGTAAATATCAATAACTTAAATTGTTTCGATTTATACCGGAAATGCTACGCTTCCTTCACAAGTCAAGAGTGCAATGGATGCGCCTGTCCCGCTTTCGTTACCATTCAACAAGCGGAAAAGGTGGTACAGATGCCGGTGAATCTGCGCGGAAACAACGACTGAAGTCTACTCTTTACTACTTGACCGCTGGTGGCATATTTGCTGCAGGTGCTAGCTATGCTGCAGTGCCTCTTTATCGCATGTTCTGTCAGGTGAGTGCCAATATCGCAGCTCCTAAAAAAACCAAATTTATCTTACCTAACCACAGGCCTACAGTTACGGCGGCACAACAACACAGGGGCACGATGCGGATAAAGTAGAGACAATGCAAAAAATTGAAGATCGTATACTAAAAATACGTTTCAATGCAGATATAGCAGCGTCGATGCGCTGGAATTTCAAGCCACAACAATATGAAATTAAAGTTGTGCCTGGCGAAACGGCGTTGGCTTTCTACACAGCACGTAATCCAACGGATCACCCAGTTACAGGTATAAGCACCTACAATGTACTTCCATTCGAGGCTGGCGCGTACTTTAATAAAATACAGTGTTTTTGCTTCGAAGAGCAGCAACTCAATCCGCATGAAGAGGCAAGATTTGTTGGCGACACGTTGTATAATATGTACTAATTTTATTTATTGTTTTTGTAAATTGTTTCTAGGTGGATATGCCCGTGTTTTTCTATATCGACCCTGAATTTACCAGGGATCCAAAGCTGGAAAATGTCGATACAATAACGTTGTCGTATACTTTCTTTGAATCAAAGGAAGGTTTGAAGTTACAAATGCCCAGCTATGCGAGACCGCATGTAGCGTGATGGAGACCCATCCATCTTTTGTTTTAAATTTAGCACATTAGGAGAAAGCATCCGAATTAATTAATTTAATTTATTTACCCTCGACTGCTCCGTTGTAAATAAACTTCTTAGTAAATAGTGTATGACTTTGGTTATGTAAGTTAAAAAGCAATGCAAAAACCCTTACTAGTATATACAAACATGACGTTTGCAATATTAAATATGAATTTGCTGATTTTAAAATATTTATGCCGTAAATTTAATGTAATTTTAAGCAGCACAACATTGGGTAATAGCAAGTAATGCCATTCTTGGTCTAAACGGTGGTGGTGACGTTGCTAGGAAACGGAAATTTTATGTAAACAGATTAGTTACTTTCGAGGCGTTTTCTAATCCAGAGTTATCTTTCTTTGATATTCAATTATAAATTCAATGAATAGGACATAACAATTGAAGCCGAGTTATAATGCAGATTGGAAAAATTTCGCGGTAACACACAGCTTTATTGGATGATAAGTAAATTTCTGCGATTTCCTTTATGGTGAACGGACGGATCCAACATTCATACCTGCCATTTTTAAAAAATGTCAAAAAGTTTTACACTGCCACACTTTCGTTTGTTGCAGAGGCTTCATAGAAATATTTTTCTCAAAGATTTCGCGTAATTAATCAGCACTTAATGAAGCTCGCCAGCTTCGCACAGCCATGAACTTCAGTGACGACCCCTTGGCAGATCTGCTTAGCGACAATAGTCTGGAAAATGACAGTTTCTTCGATAATCCGGTGGGCAAAAAACCAGCTAATCGTATAGGCAAGAATAAAAATAAATTGGATGATTTATTTGGAATTAAAGAAGAAAGTGAAGTTTCAAAGCAGTCAGTTCCAAAAACACGTCAGCCGCAATACACCAGCACGACAAATGTTAGTAGCACAACGCGCAAAGATCTGCCCCAAGACGATGATGATGATTTAGGTTTCGATCCACAAAAACCAAAAGCTGGCGGTAAGCTAAATTTGTTGGACGATTTGCTTGCAAGTTCCGGCATTAACGAACCAAAACGTCCCGCGACCGCGCAACCAACAACTGGGCGCCGCGACACAGAAAAACCAGCTATTTCGCGACAATCAACTGAAACTACCACCGACACCTCAAATGTTCTCCTGACACAACCCCGTCCGAAAACATCAGCTGGCCGTCGCAGTTCAAGTACTTCGAATGCCATGAATACCGATCCTCTGGGTCTTTTTGGTCCACAATCTAAAGAGCGTGACAAAGAGCCCTCCACTTCTGGCTTATCAACGCCAAAGGCCAGAAAACGTGGCACCACCGCAGATTGGCTTGGTTTGAGCACGGAACCGGAAGTCGTGGACAAGGCTGACATTTTACCAGATTCATCACTGCACACATCGAAGCAGCCAACAACAACATCGCTTACAACAACTGCCAGCACAGCTAGAGAAACTATGGACATTTTAAAACTACCTGATAATGAGGCGCCTCCACAAGCAGAACAGCATACGCTGCGCGAGGAAATGCTAGCTGTGCCACAATTTACGCCTTCGGCGGCAGCGGGTTGCAGCACTGCGCAAAATATACTCCTACTCAATACGCACAATATGGAAATGAAAAACGCTTTCACGGCATTGCAGCAGCAGGAATCACAATTAGCATTGGCGGCACAAATGAAAAATCAAGAGCGCGCTTTGCTGGAAATGCAGCGTAAACAAGAAGCGCTACTGCAGCAGCAGGAGCGACAATTTCAGGCGCTTATGCAACAGCAGCTTCAGCGTCAACAACAAATGGAGGAGCATATAAAGATGCAGCAGCAACGCATTAACACGCACATTCAACTGCTGATGTCGCAACCTGCGATGCTAGCGCCAATGTCCTCAGTACCACCACCACCGATAACGGCTGATACGCTGGGTGAACGCGTTGGCTCACCAGATGGCACGCCAGATAAGTCCGATGACGCGCGTGGTGTGTTGGCAGATCGGCGTGGCCACGGCGGCAGCCGTAGTCGCAGCCAGAGTCAGAGTAGACCTGTTTCACCGCGGGAGATTGCGCTGGAAACTGTACAACTAGAAGCTGATGTGAAGCGCTTGGAGTTGGAAAAACTGCGTTTGGAGGAATTAGTGGCAAATCAAAAGGTGAACTACGAGCGTGAAATAGAGTTAATTGAACGTTCATACAAGAAGCAGATTGAAGTGCTCGAGAACCATACGCAGTCGATGGAAACACGCCTAAAAGCAGAATTGGATGAGCTTTCAAAGCATTATACGCAAAAGCTCGACACGTTAGATAGCGAAAAACAGCGTATTAAATCAAATTACGACGCTGATTTTAGCGCGCTGAAGCAGGACCACGAGGATGAACTGCGTAAGCTAAAGAAATCCCATGACGACGACTTAGAGATGCTAAGGGAAGAGCATCGCCGCATGCTGGAAAATGTGCGTCAGTCTAAAATGCTCGAATTCGCTGCAATACAAGAGAATGGCTCGTATATGGAGACGCTGAAGGCTGCTTCAAGTAATCTAGAGAATTTGAGTGACGGGCTGGAAGGTCTGCGCGATGAAGTGCAATCGCGTCTAGAATTGCTGCATAAAGAAAAAGAAAAGAAGCTGGATGCACGCGAACGCCGACTTGATGATGCTGAACGACGCTTGAAGATGAACGAAGAGTCCGCCGAGGAGGAGAAAAAGCGTCTTATGATGCTAGTTGGAAGCTTAGAACACCAATTGACTAAACTTTCCAAAGACTCCGCTGAGGAAAACTGGCAACTACGCCAACGCATGGCCGCACTTGAGGCCGAGAAGGCAGCATTTGAGAAAGAGAAAGAGTTTGCGCGCGAACAAATTGCGCGCGATGAGAAACGCCTTGCCGACCTCAAAGAACAGCAGCTAGCTGAGTCGAAACGCGCGCTTGTTGAACTACAAGAAGAGCGCGCACGCCTCTACCTGGAACGTACCAAAATCGAGACGGAACACAAGCTGAACTCTGGCTCGGATGTGGAGAAACAACGCATGGAAATGGATGCTGTTATGAAGGTGGCACAAGATGCAGCGCGTCAAGCGGATGTTGAGCGTGAACGATATCACAAAGCTTTGCGCCAATTAGAGCAACAAAAGCGCGAACTTATCGACAAGGAGAACACTCTGCGCGCTAAAGAAGATGAACTACAGCAGGAAAATCTTTCATTTCGTATGGCTGAACATAAGTCCCAAGAGGCGCAACAGAAAGCGCGTTCGGCCGAGCAAAATTTCCAAAGGAAAATACAACTGCTGCAGCAACGCATGCGCGAACTGGGCGAGAAAGAGGTGAATCTCTCACAAGAGCGCATGGTGCTTACGCAGGAGCGCATAGGATTGCAGCAATTGAAGACGCGTCTATTGGAAAAGCGTTGCGCGCTATGTAAAATGGGTGATCAGCGCGAAAAGGTGGTGCAATTCTTTAGTAGCAATGATAATGAGCTAGTTGCTAGTGAGGAAGGTGGGGGCGTTGGTGGAAGTGGCGTAGCAGGGGATGCTTCCACGAATCAGCGCGGTGTACAAGCGCTGCAGCAAAGCACATCAGATGAGCACAGAATGCGTCACATGCTGGAACAGGAAAATATTGTGGATCGCATGCTGGATGAGAATATAGCCGAGTCGTATCGCAAAATGAGAGCGACAACAAGCATGGAATACTGGCCTGAGACGGTGTTGGACGATGATGCTAAGGAAATGGCGTTGCATAATCTGGATGGAGGTCTATTGCGGTGAGGCGCAGATGATATTTAGCCAAAAATATTACAATACAAATTTTGCAAATAAAATTTTTATATACAAAATTAAAATTTTTTCACAGCATTACTGGTTTGGTTTTTAATTAAATATATCTACAAACTTAGTAAGTCCATATCGGTATTGGAAATTTGCTAAAATCATCCTATGCGCCTAGAAATATGCAAAATTTGATTCCACGGTCTGTATATCTGGAAGCCTCGCTATTTTTAACCGACTTCCAAAAAAGGAGGAGGTTATCAGTTCGTCCGAATATTTATTTATTTTTATTTATTTTATTTTTTTTATGTATGTTACCGCATAACTTTGGACCACGTCATCCGATTTCGATAATTCTTTTTGCATCGGAAAGGTGGTGTCTCAGAGGTGGTCCCATACTAATCTGGTTGAGATCCGATCAGTGGATCATGATATATATATATATATATTTTTTTATATGGGAGTTGAAGTGGGTTTTTTTTTGCTAAAAGTTACTTGTTTTTATATTAATTTCAAGCTGCTAAATTTACATTTAAGACTACAACTTAACTTGACGAAATCACACACCCGCAAGGAGCTGACTGTTTTCATGACTTTAGCTGAAGTTTTCTATTAAGAAGGGGATTTTTTCTGCTTTTTCTGGCTTCTGGTACTGTTCATGTGACAAAAAAATTTGATTTATGCTGCAAAATTTTCGTGGTTAAATCTGCTTATGTACATATGTATGTGTGGATAGTTCTGATAATAGTTGTGTGCAAAAATATGAGCCGTTTGTATGTCTGTACGTATTGCCTGTATACGGCTGCATGCGAAGAATGTAGAGGCTTCTTTGGTATTTACTCTCCTATCTTTCAACACTGTCTGGCTTCTATCCTTCAAGGTAAAAATTCAAAATTTCACATATAAACCGCAATTTTTTCATGCAGATTGTATAAGTAGAACTTACCTTATTAAATTCTTAGGCTCTTTTAATACCAGAAAATTTAAATGCATACTCCATGCTGCCATAATTTAAAAAAAAAATTGTTTTTTGAAACATCGCAACTTATGCTGGATTTCCACTAGGCATTAAATGACAAATGATAAAGTCGGGCATTAAAAAAAATTGTGTCATTACATTAAAAAAATAGTCATTAAGTTCATTTCCACATTGCATTTTTTTAAATGGCATAAATTTTTTGCAAGTTCAATGCCTATTGGAAATTCGGCATTACTCATTTTCAAATATGCACATACATACAGGAAATGAATAACGGTTTCATATATGTATTTAGATCTAAGCAAAGGGGAGAAAGTTTTTGACTATATGTGGCTGCAGAGGCTTTTGTTGCCATATGATTTAAAAGTCCCCTAGCTTCTTTTTACTACGGGTATGAGTACGGTGACCATCCGTCCTGTATTATACGGGACAGTCCTCTTTTTTGATCCATTGTCCTGGTAATTTATTTATTTTATATGGGACGCCAAATGTTCGGTATTTATTTTAATGTCCTGTATTTGTCCCGTATTCGGTGTTCCGACGCCTCAACAGCTCATTAAAATGGCATGCCTATGGACGAGTTTTAAGTGATGTTGGTGTATGATCGTAATTTTCTTTATAACCAGTTATTATCTTCTAATCTGCAAAATTAATTCTGCAATGCGTTGCCACAATTTAAAACTTTTTAATTATAATCTTTAGAAAAACATTTAGTTTGCAGCAGTTTTGTAACTCATTACAATTGAGTATAATAAAGTGCGAGTGGGAAGTGTTGCTCATTTGCTTCTCTTTCAAAAAAAAGGGCGAATATACGATATGTATGAAAAAAATACCGTGAACAAAAAACAAGATTGCCAAAAATTAGTGGTAAGCCTTACCGACTTAAAATTGCACTTAATTATACTAAAATTTAACGATTTTTTTTAAACAAATTTTGAGGGGTAAAAATCTGGAGAAAATTAGCCTAGAAATTCGTGATGGTACTTTAAGGATACTGTTTCAGGGAAAACAGTGTGGACAAAATTTCCGAAATTATTTTTTGTCCCGTATTCGACTCTCACAAATATGGTCACCGTAGGTATGAGTTAAAAATCTACTTGGAAGCAAATTAAATGAGATTGGTAAATCAACATAAGCAGAAAAAGTGGAAGGATCATGCAATTTGGTCTATAGTGTGTGTCCAATGCGACAAGACGTGACGACAGATTGGAAATCTCATTCGACGGACACGCCGGCAAACGTCGATTGATCGAAAGGTTGCACAAACTGCCCAAAAATAGCGAATAACTTGCTTTCATCAGCGGTGAAGACCAGGTAGCTATCCGTAAGGCGAAAGCCTCCAAAGCAATTGGCCCCGTCGGAATTTGCATGATGATGCCGAAAATTTTGGGACCAGCAATAGTAGGATATCTCACCAAGGTCCTCAGTCTTTCAATGGTCACTCTCATCATTCCCGAAGTTAGCAGATAGAACTGCTCTCCCCCGTCTCGAAGACACTAGATGCTCTGCGGGAGCTAGTTTACGTACCACCTGACCCCTGCTAAAAATCAGCATGGCACATAACCCCATAAACACTTAGGCCTAGTGACGTTCGACTTATCAAAGGCGTTTAACACCGTCTGCCATTCCACGCTACTTGAAGATATCGCGGTTTCTACACTCCCACAGGGAATCAAACGGTGGTCGGCGAATTAGTATATGTATGAGTGATCGGCAGTCGTCAGTAACCTGTCGAGTTCAAACTTTAAATTAAGAAGAATTAAGCATGGCGTTTCACAGGGTGGGGTCTTCTCCCCCTTCAGCCACTTATTCTTATAATGCTAATGACTCTTCGAAATTTCCGTCCGGGAATGGAATGGATGACCTCTGCTCGAAAGTAAACGGCTAAGTTTCCCAACTTTCTCGCTTTTTCACTGCACAGATACTAATCCTCTCTCCGTCGAAATCAACGGCGAACTGCTTCACCACCTGGACGAATACACACTAATTCCGATGGTTACCTTTGGTAGCCTGATGTCCTTCCTTGCGCACACAACTGCAATTGTCAATCAAGTACGGAGCCGCAAGAAGTTCCTTAAGTAACTCGCTGGCAGAACCTCGGACAAAGACAAAGAACGTTGCTGGCAACATAAAAGGCAATTGGTCGTCCGGTTCGGAACTATGCTGCGCCTGTGTGGTCGCCGGCGATCGAAACCAAATCCCCACCCATTGCAGACACAGACATTGCCGGCACAATTACGGTCTGGATATTCTTGCAGCTACGTATCCAGAGTCGACCCTGATATCCCCAATGAGTCTCCGAAATGTGGAGACACGACACCAACACACTCCTCACATGTCAATCAATCCCACTCAGCTTGATGACAACAATTGATGGACAAACATCTAAGTAATGCTGTAATTCGAAAGCTAATAAATATAAACTGCTAAAATTAATTAATAATCGCTGCTTTGGATAAAAAATCGTTTTCTAAACGTACTCTCATGCCCACTGCTCTTATAACGGTAATTTTCAAAAATGTAAAAGCTGTTTCAATTTGACACTAAAAATTATTTTTAGATCATTAGCTCTGATCCAATACTTTTCGTGTAAAATCCTATAAAAATGACAAACAGCAAAATTAGTCTCTGAATTGAAAGTGAGTAACAACAAAAAGTACGGGAACAAAAAATGCATATTTCCTGTAAAAACGTCAACCAGTGATCGCTTGACACTTTTCATGATTTTACCAGAAGAAAAAGTTCGGGTAAAATCTCGCAGCTTCATTCTCTACACAACTCTCCAAAACTCGCTCTCATTTACAGTATTTTGGAGGAATTTGGAGTACGGGATCATTTTTCCTGTAACTTCCTGCAAGTTCGTGTAAAAACCTGTAAGTTCATGGAGTACTGGATCAGAGCTATTATGTAGGGTAGATGTGAAAATCTAACATTGTGAACCGGTAGATGAAAGAGAGTCCAAATTGGTGAATACCGAGGCCACTTCTTCCCCGAGGAGTCAATCCGGAGTTGTTCCTGTTTGTAGCTTAGATAGCGCCAAATAAAAAGACGAAGACGAGGTGTACTGTTATGCAAATAATTGCTTTCGGATCCCTGTCTTCACCTACATAATTCCTTTGATCGCACAACCTTGTCTATGAATTTTTATACTAAAAATTTTCCGCCAAAAAACACAAATAACATATTAGGGCTATTCGCGATCCGGTGCAAATGGCCTAGCATCATTGCATTGCAAATTTGTATTGCAAATTATTTGCAATACACAAACAAAATACACGCATTTGCACTTGTCATGGCTTGACAAATTTGCAATACCGAAAATCCATAGCATAAAAATGCTATGCATTGCAACTCTGGTTGACATTTCTCTCAGCTGATTAAAAAAGTTTTACCATGCCAGTTTAATAAAGTTCGCTCACAATCCATGGCATATTTCTGCAATTGCATTAATTTGTCAGCTCTTATGCACCGAATCGCGAATAGCCCTAGTATTTCTAAGGATCCTCATGTAATCACAAAACGCCAGCAACCGTACAAACAGCACAACACGCTTGCGCAAACAAACGTTGCGACATCTTGCCGTTATAGCAACGTTACTTAACGGCCACCTACACCTTTGGAACTCGCGCTGTATGCGCTAAAAGATGCTGTTTTCAATTTTCTGCCGTTAAAACTCTGTAAATATTTGCTTGTGCCGCTACAGCCACCATGAAATTCGGTGTGTCTGTAACTGCGTTTACAAAGATGATATTGTAGCCAACAACGGAGGCTGTGGCGCAGAAAACAGTTGGTTGGCTGGCAAAGAAGTGAGTGTCATTCCTTGGTACGAAAAATTAGTTTAAGAAAGAATAAATAAGTAAACAAAGTAAGAAAAAAAAAAATAGAACCGTAGGTTTCGGGCTCGGCGCAGTCGATAGCTGGAAAAAAGCAAATTAAAACAAGTACAATAACTATTAGCTTTGTCAACAGTAGTCAACAAAATTTGTCGGAGTTCTTTGAATTACTTTTAAATTTATTTATTTGTCTGCAGCAATGCAACTT